TCATAATCTAGTGGTAAATGGATGAGCAGTAAGATGCCTGCATGAAATGCCAGGCTTGAGCATTCCCCTCTTTTCTGCATGGGCAGGAGAAGGAATAATCAGAATGTTACTTTGGCAGACTCCTAACATGGCCTATTTACTGGCAAATGAGAAGCCCCATAGCCCCTGTGTTATGGACCCACTTTGGTTAGCCATAGGTTTCTGAATGCAAAATGCTGGTTTTAAGCTATAAAGGCCTACATGGCTTGGCTCCTAGGTAGCTTCAGCACCACTCTCCACATGGAATGAACTCATTTGGTACATGCCACCAACCCCAGCCCCATTTGTTAACAATTTTCCATGTTGGAGAGATTGGGGGCAAGGATTTGCAGACACATTATTTTCTTGCAGCTCCTCTGTTATGGAATCGCCCCTACCCTGAGGTCAGAACACCACTCACATTCAAGGCCTTTTAGAAGTTAATCTAAGCAAAGACTTTTCCAGAGAAAATTTGAGGGATGAGTGCATGTTCTTGTTATGTATTATTGCTTTTTTTTCTAATGTTTTATTTTCCAAAACCTTAGGAGTCTATACAGATTACAGTGATATATAAATGACTGAAATAAATAAACTCTGTTTTAATGCAAACCAGAAATTGTAGTTTAAACTAAGAATCTGTTAAGTAAATAGCTTCAAAAAGAATTCTGGCTTTTATGTGCTATCTGCATCTAGCTTATTCTAGTGAATTTTTTATAGTTTGTTAAATCGGGTACACTAAATCAGGAATCTTTTAAAATAAAATAATGTCATGATTTATTTCTCCTTCCAATTATGTGGGAGGAGGACAGGGAGGGGAGTGCTTGAGGAAACTTGTGCATCTAGGATTATTCCTGTTGTGCACATATGCTATCTCTATGTTAGTATTCTGTGCACACCAGACATATTACAAGAAAACCATATAATCAGTAATTACCTTTAATCACATTAATTAAGCAATGGCAGGATTAAAGAATTCTTTCTTTCTTTTTTTTTCAGAATGAATCTTCTGAATTGATGAGCTATGTAAAACTGAAAGTGTTAAGTAACTGGGGCCACCCAAATTACACTTGCATTTATCGCTTCAGAGTACATGGTGATCTATATTAATCTGTTCTGTAGATGACCATGCTAGTATAGGAATGAAGCCACAGCAGCCGAAACCAATGTAACTTTGCTGAGCTTCTGCTTCTATAATTAAAATGGAAATATGCAACAATGGCAAGATTGTGGGAAACTGCTTTATTCTCCATTATTGATTATGAAATAGCACAGGTATAATGAACAGAATTTTTAGTTATTTGTGACTACTGATTGCTTTGGGTAGAAGAATAACACATGAAACATGTACTACATAGGAAGACTATAAATTATATTTCTCTATGGTCACAGACATTCATTTTATTCCTGAGAAAA